CTCACTTCACTCTCTCATACCCTCCCTGCCAGGCCTTTCCCAGCCTTTCCCACACCTGACTCTCTTTTTATTTTGTCTTCACTTCCCGTTTTTATCCTTCTTATTGTTTCTTCTGCCCTTCATACCTCAGAGGGCCACATGTGCATAGATCGTACATGTACTGAGAATCACCCTGGGCACTGTTTTACCTTGTCACTGACGATATGCCTTCTTCCTCCGTCTTTAACCTGGAGAAATTAAGAAAGAGCAAGTGACTGGACATTTCCCTCTAGTGCCAGCAATGCCTCTATCTTGCTGTGACATTACTGGGCCAGAGAAGCAGAACAAGAAGGAAGGTACCCATCAAAATTTCACACATGCTGGTTCAATAGGGGAATGGGAATGCATTTGAGGTCAAAAGGAGGGATTTCAAGGCACCGCTTCTGCAAGTCCGCTGGGCCTCCTGAGATTCTCGTGAACGGCTGGGGTTGTGCTCTAGCAACACGTGCACATCATGTTCTGAGTGATGTCTCACGGCAGTTCTAACTGTGGTACAGTCCTAACAGGGGTACTAACTGGCACCCCTGCCTCCCAGCACCTGGCTGCTTTGAAATTCGAAATGTTTCAAAACTTTCAAAACCTTTCAACTGCCCTTGTTTCGTTTCAAAGCTGTTTCAAAGCCCTTCGTTTAGTTTCAATGTCACTGTTCCAAGCTCAAAATGAGTCGAAGCAGCGTCAAAACAAAACAGCCGGCAAAGCTTCACACAGCACTACTGCCAAGGTCCTCAGCAGGAGATTGGGTGTATCTTGTGTAAAGATGGGATTGTTTGTGGCAAACCTCAAGTCCCCTGCTTTTCCTTGTAAAGAGTAAATTCCGGTGTTGTTACACTATACCAGAGGCTCTGTGCTTCTGATCTCCACAAGACTCGTTTCTTCTCCAAGTATGCAAAAGGATTGCATTATGTTCCTAGAGAGCCCACACCAGGCAGTGACAGAACGTATCAGGGCCTCCTGTTTCACTTCATCTCATAGCTGCAGCAGCACACAGACAAGGAAGTCCCATCCTGACTGCAGTAAATACACTGCCAGGGAAGTTGTGGAGGTTTTTAAGAGGAGGCTGGATAAGCATTTGTTAGGAGTAGTGTAGGAATGGCTTCTCTGCATGTATTCAGGGGGGTGGACCAGATGACTCTTGAGGTCCCTCCCAACCCTATGATTCTATGAATTGGAGTGCAGGGCAGGGTCATTTGCTTTATTTTGAGTTGTGCATGAACCCTGGGAGTGTAAGTGAGAAGGCAGGTTCAGTGTGATCCTCTTTCATAGAATCATAGAAAGAAGGACCGGAAGGGACCTGTAAGATCATCAAGATCATTCCCATGCCCTGTTCTGTCTTTGTGGGTATACATGCCTAGAGGCATCTATCTGTCCAGACCTGAGAGCTCAGTGAACAGCATTCACACTCCAACTTGAACATCAGTGACTTTCCTTGATCAGTTCACACCCAAACATTACTAGGTAGTAGATGCCCTGTGTGTGTCTAAGGGAGTAGAGGACTGTAGTAGAGGACTCTTCAAGGTGCTGAAGAGTAAGGACATTCTCTTGCCCTGCCATGCAGACAGCTTCTCTTGAATTCATCTCTTGAATTGTTTTTGGAACTGCTGTGCTGTGGACTGGCCACTGTGTTGATGGTATCAGTCATACTACAGCACTTAAGTGGGACAGCCACATAAAGATGGGTATGTTCCACCTCTTCAAGGCAGATCTTTTCCTGGCAAGGGAGAGCAAAGTTTGCCAGTGCTCTGGTTCATCTAAGAGGGCTGCAAAAGTTAAGATCAGTAGCATCCTTCCTATGTAAGTGTGACTAGGATGGTTGTCCTCTGTGGGCATAGAGATGTATACATGTTCTTGGACTTCCTATCTATGTGTACAGCTAGGATTGTGCTGTGTGCAGAATGCATTTTTTCACTGGGCACATGGGATCAGTGTAGGACTGACGGCAGTGGCTGTCTGGTAACTCCTGTCTCCATTTTCCTGGCTTCCCAAGGGCCCTCCACAGCTCATTACCCCATTGCTGCACCTTGGGGTAACCCCCCTCGCTCTCAGAGAGAGTTCCACTTCCCAGCAGCCCCTGAGATATTTCCATGCCCTGGTCTGTCTGCCAAGGAGAGTGCTGTCCCTGACATGCTGACAGACTCATTATAAGAACTTTAACTTCAAGACTTTATCAGCAGTAAATTCCCATCCTGTCCTCAACTCCCGGGTGTTGACAGCTCCTTCCAGTCCTGTGCATCAAATGCTTGGTGACCCGCCCCTCTCTCTGCTCTCTCCGCTGGACATTAAACTGACACTTGGTGAACCACAGACAAAGTGGGCTCAGTTGTAATAAACACTCCCTTACCAGTGTTTTTCTGGACTCCAAATTTGGGCTGGCCATGCTGGAGATTGGCTATGTACATGGCATGCAGATGCTTCCAGGCCTGGGCAGAGCTGGACCCAGTCTTGTGTCTCAGATTTAATTGGAGCTCTGGACTGAAGTTCAGATCACTTCTTACCTTATCCAGTTCCCCTGCTGTAAAAGAATCCAAGGAATTGGAGTCTCCAGCTGCAGTGGAGCAATGGCCAACAACAACAACAATGGCAGCATACAGGAGCCCTAGCATAGGTAGAGGCAGCCCCTGGCACAGATCCCCAGTGTTGGGAACCTTTGTGGCTTGTGAAGAGCTGGGGCAAGCACTCTACTCTGATCTCTTTGCCAGTCCCAAGCATAGGAGGAAAACTGGAGTCCATTACAGTCTGGCTAATCTCCATCCTTTGCAGTCCTATGGGAAGTGGAGTGTAGGTCAGAGCAACCCTGAAGCTATTTCACTTGTTGATAACGGCACTTCTCATGAGCAAGGTGGCATAGGGCTGATGTTGCAGAGAGGTTGGAGGGGGATTTGCACCTAGTTTCACCATGTGTTGAAGCTTTACTAATAGACCCTCCTGACTGCTTGTTCCTTGTCTTTAGATCTCTTGACTGCTAACCGATCGAGCGTGTTTTTTGGCCACCGGGGGTTCCCGGATTTCCGCTCCCTGTACCTGGATGAATACCGTGATCGGCTCTTCATTGGTGGAAAAGACACACTGTACTCCCTGCGCCTGGATCAGAGCAGCACAGATGCCAAGGAGGTAATGCTGTGTCCCTCATCACAGATGTGAGCACAAGCAAGGTTGCGGGCACACACTTTCTCCTTCTCATACAGCACCCACAGTGTGCGCTGCACCAGTCTGGGCTGGGGTTTAGTGGTGGGGTGTAGGAACCAGTGGCTGGAATACCAAAGGGGCATGGATCAAGACTGATGTGCACTGGCCAATCTCTGAGGAGGCCCTAGCACCAGAATAGTTTTGTGTGGAAGGTTGTGGGTTAGGAAACATGAGCTAGGTGCGTGGGGACCCAGGGTTGGTGGTTGCTGGTCACAGCTGGGATGCATCAGCAAACTATCTGGGGACTCAGAGCTAGAAGAGGAGGCGGACTGCAGGTTGGCACTGAGGCACAGGCAACAACCACCACACTACCTAGGCGATGCCATCACAAATGAAGCCTGCTAGGAGGCCGTCACACATAGTAAAACAGCCCTGTCTCAGAACCGACTTGCTCTTGAGCCTCATCCAGCCTTGTGTTGTTCTTGACAACTGTGTTGACTTGAGGCCTCCCAGCCTTAAGTGTGACTTTTGCCACTTCTGCCAGGGGCCCTCTTCCCACTGGAGCTTTTCCCACGAGGAGCTGTAACCTGAGATGGACAGGAGGCCTCAGTCACTGAGCAGCCATGGGGACCTTCCATGAGTCTGAGACCTTGGGCCAGAAACATGACACCAGTTGGAAATTGGGGGCATGCAAGGGGAGGCTTCCACCCTGGAGGGGATTAGACTGCAATTAAGTGTAATCAGCAGCACGGAAGGACAGGCAGTGTGGCCAGACTGTGAACAATTAATGAAGCCCTTGGGAAGACTCAGCCCCTGAGATTCTTGAGTCAAACATCAAGCCAGCAAAGTCAGTGACAGAAAACAAGCAAGTAGGGAGGGTGAAGGAAGGTGCTGTTGAGATACTGGGAAGGGGAGCGGGGACCAAGCCCCACTGACCCATTGGACGTTTCACGTTAGAATTCAGTGCGGCTTGGATCCCAGCCCAGGCACCGTGCAGCACGTACAGCCAGATCCCACCGCAGCGGTGTTGCAGCTGCTCCCACATTGTGCCTGGGTTTTGGTGGTGAGCTTTGCCAGCACCATGCACCTTTCCCGCTTTCTGTCCCTGCCCTCGCTGGTTTTATGCTGGGTCCAGTAGTGGGTTTTGGGATGGGATTTTCCCAGGTGCTCTGCCTTGCCTGAGCATGCTCCAGAGTCCCACTGCCACTGGGATCACTGGGATCAGAGACAGACCAATGCTGAAGGTACAGTAGGGTGCTGACTGGTTAACTCTCCAGCCCTTCAGCTCTGAGTGCATGCCCAGCCCTTGGGTGCTGCCAGCTTCCCCCTTGGTGCTGCCAGCTTTCCTGCAGGTGGGTGATTTTATAGCCCCAGTTTGAAGTTCCCCTGGTGTTACGGTCTTCTCACTGCTCCTTCCCCTGGGTTTTGTGGTGCTGCTTTGCTGATGTGTGGCCTGTTGGCTGAAATCCCCCTCAGGCCTGAGTGTAAGGGTTTCTTGGCTGTACTTTTTAGGCTGGCCACAGTGTCCCTCAGCCTACTTCCAGCTCTCCTCCAGATCAGATCCTGGGCCATGCCTACCACAGCCTTTGCCCTCCCCTCAGCCCTTGCTCTGTCTCCTAAAGACCTGCTGGCAGGAGGGTTACAAAGCCTGTCTCTAGGTCCACCTCTGCCCAGATTTTCTCCTTTGGATGGGGAAAAACTGAAGAAACACTTCCCATCACTCAAAGTAGAAACTCCTCTCCCTACTCCCCCTAAGAAAGAGGGGGAGGGAGGGTCCCTGAGGTGAGCTGGTGTAATTGGATCTCATTTCCTCCTCTTCCTGTGAGCCGGGGGCTGACAAGAATTGAATTATGAGCTGTAGGCGTCTGCCATTGGCAGCTCAGCTACGTTCACTGTTTTCAACTGTGTTATTAGAACAAATAAATAGCCGCTACCTTATCGCATTGACTCCCTTTAGGTTAAGTGGGCTAAAGGTATTTTTAGAAGGAAGCAGGATTGTTTTAACAGCCCAGAGGCTGTTGTCCCTGCTAATAGACATAAAATAATGCTGATAATTGAACCCCCTACTCCCACCACTGTAGGAGTCCCACCTGATATATTCTGATCCTCTCCTTTCTCATCCAATATGAGGATTCAGCTCTGATTTGCTGCCTTGTGTGTTGGGAATGTGGAGAGCTCCAGTCTGGCTCAAGGGACTCAAGAGTGGTGGGCAGAAGGGCACAGAAGAGGGAGGGTTCCCACCAGAGTTTCACCAACGGACCTGTTCTCCATGAATTTGTCATTCATATCCAAGTGGACTTAATTCACTTTAGCTTAACCTTTCAGAATGAATTAATGTTCTGAATGAGACCAGCTATATGGGAGCATAAAATGATTCATTTTTAATGCTGTTAGCCGACCCCCCTGCGCCAGCTCAAGCCCAGGTGTAAGGGAAGGAGATGGCAGAGGTAAAGTAATCACAGTGCTGGGACATAGTCCATCCTGCCATGCACTGTGTGGCTTCCAGTGAAGAGGTGCAAGGCCTCAATTTCCTGACAGGCAGGTCTCACTCCCTCTCTGGGGCCTGCTCTGGGGAGTATCTGAGTTTGGGCAATGCCTGCAAACATCCACTAAATTGAATTACATGGTGGATTTTTGGTTTTAAGCCTCTGGGGTACATGTACTCCTGGCCCAGCTCAGAAACACATCTGAGCTCTCAAGGGCCGGCAGTGGTGAGAGGAACACAAGCTGACATCTCAATCCCCAACCTGCTGCTTCTCCTCTCAGACAGGAGATGGGAGGGAGGGAGGCTAGCTCAGACCAGAGACAGAACAGTCAGAGTCTGTATCTCTGTGTTGAAATGGCTTGTGACTTGGCTTGGTAACTAGGCTTCCTAGTCCTTGGGTTTGGGGTGGGAAAGGAATCAGAACCAGCAGCTGCCTCTGCTTTCTGTTTGCCCTGCAGACAGCATCCACAGCAGCTTGGAAACACTGTTAGGCTAACATGAGAAGCAGACCAGCCCCCACGGCTTTGGCTCAGTGACATTTTCAGCAGAGGCGAGGGGAGAAGGGAAATTAAAAGTCACTCCCATGTGATGGGTCACTGGGAAGAGGTCGAGGGCTTGTGTACCCAGCCTGCCCTCAATATGAGAGTGGCAGAGGCACCACAGAGGGCTTCAGCAGGCCCAGCAGGGGAGAACACCAATGTGGACTTTGTCAGCTAATATATTCTCGCACAGGCATGCATCAGTATCACATGCTTGTGCACGTGCACATGGACACTTATTTATACATGCACACCAGCAGGCCAACCACCAAATCTCCCTTTCTCTGTCACATACACAAACTTCAACACGCGCACAGTTATCCATATACAGCAGCATACCACCCAGAGTTACTTGCTTGAATACCAACACACTCTTACTCGTTCATGCACTTACACAACATACTGCCTCCCTACCCATGCACTTACAGCCTACATACATGCAGGCACCTGTGTAGAGTGAAAGCATTCATGCTCTTTCTGGCATGCCCTAGACATACACACTCAGAGGCACTCACTGCCTGCACACAGACTCATTCAAATGCATCCAGTCCTTTGTACCGTCCCTGTGCTTAATCACACACCCCTCATACGTGCTGCATACATTCACCCATCTCCCTCAGTGCTCACACATCACACACAAGCCCAGCTCAGACACACACAGGGTAAGTACACACACACTTCAGCTGCAAACCTTAGCCTGTAGCTCAGATTGGTCCTTTACAAGCAGGCAATACAGAATTACAGTACGAGGGTGGGGCTGGCAGATTACGACTCCTGGGTTCTATTTCTGCCTCTGTTACTGACTTATTCTATAGCTTTGGATAAGATATGTCACCTGTGTGGCCCTCAGTTTCTGCATTACAAAATGGAAGTGCTGAAATCCTTCTTTCCGCTTTTGGATAGAAAGCACTGAATAAATGAAACCTGTTGTTTCAATATGGCATTGGCAATGAAACTGCAAACCAGGCAAGGGTTTGCCATAGTTTATCTCAGAACAGTTTATGGGGAGAGGACTAGGCTGGCATCAGGACTGCTGGGTTCTGTTCCAAGCTCTACCACACACCTTATGGATGATTTGGGGTAAATCACAGCCTTACCTTGTCCCTCCGTTTCCCCACCTGTAGAGCAGGGAACAGTGCTACTAATTGATCTTCACAATGCACTTTGACATCTGGAGTGGAAGAATCAAGCATTGGGTTACTCCCCTGGCTTTGCTGCTTACAGCCCTTTCCCAAAGAGGGTTTCCAGGCTGATCATTCCATCTCGGCTTAGCGGTTGTCTTTGCCAGCAGTAGTTTTAGCTTTATTTAGACAAACAGTGAGATGATAAAACATGCTGTTTGTATGAAGCTCCAGAGCAGTGGCCTTGAGGGTGTGAGACCACACAGGAGAACTTGAAAACTCCAATAGATCTGCATGTTCTACAGATCTACATCTAAGAGATCTGCAACCTATAAGTATATAAGGGGTGTGCATCAGGAACTGGGAGAACATCTGTTTCCTAGGGTCACAAACTGCTGGAAGACTGTTTTAGACTGGTGTCACAGGGTACCAAGGGGTGCCTGCTCCTTGGAGAGCAGAAATTGCCTAGCCCGAGGAGCCAGGCAGAGCTTCACAGCTGCAGGTTGCCATGGAAACGAGCTAATGGGGAACTAACCTGCACCCAGACCTGCACCTGCACCCAGTCAGCTGACTGAAAGGAGGCAGAGCCCGGGACACATATAAGCCCCAGAGCAGGACTGGCAGGAGTTAGTTCTCTGGCAGCAGCCAAGGGAAGGAGCTCCTGCAGGGACAAACAACCCAGAGGTGCTGTGGCTGCTTGACATGTGGCTTATATAGCTAATGGGGGCTTCAGGAGCCCATAAGATACCCAGGGCTGGGAGGCATTCTAGGCCGAGGGGGAAGCTTGACTCTCAAAGAGACAGAATATGACCTCCAGGGCCATTGTTATTGTTATGTTGTAGCTCAGGGGCTTGTATTTATGTTATTATTTCTACCGGTAGACCGGGCTGAGGCAACTGGGGAGGAGGAGGCCTCATTGGGGCACACTACAGTGTAGAGCCCCAGCGCCAACAAGGCTGCAGAGAGCCCAGCAATAACAGAAAGCCAAGTTAGGCCAGGACCTCATTACAGGGACAACATCGATATGCCATCTGTGAGGCATGGGATGTGGTAAAGAGATGGTGTTGGAGCCATGCATCTAGCCCATAGGGCTTGGGGTGTCGTGTGAATCACCTACCAAGAGTGGGGCCCATCAAGGGATACAGTGACCCTCAGGATTTAGGGGGATCCATCAGGATCATGACTGAGCTGTAACTCGAGGGTAGCCTTCTTATTTATTATTTATACCAGCAAGACGTGGCAGACAAGACTAGAAGGCTCCCATAAGGCGGAGCCAGTGTGGTCGTAAAATCCTAGGGACATCATCCCTGGGGACCCAGCATCATGACACTGGACATAAGGAAAAACTTTTTACCATCCAAGTCTCCAGAGTCTGGAATAAACTCCCCCCCAGAAGTGATGCAAGCACCTACTCTGGATGCCTTTAAGAAACACTTGGATGCTTATCTTGCTGGGGTGATCTGACCCCAGTTGACTTCCTGCCCCTTGGGCAAGTGGATGGACCCAATGATCTCATGAGGTCTCTTCCAGCCCTAATGTCTATGAAATCTATATTAAAAAAATACTTTATGTCTAGCATTTATCCGTAATTTTCTGCCTGACAGCATCAGTGAGGTCAGTGTAAAGCAAATGGACACATCACTCAGTGGCTAGGGTAAATATCTGCTGGAGGTTCACAAGAAGGGCCAGATCACAGCGCTAGTCACACCTGCACAGAACTGGGCACCCGCCACTGATGTCAGCCGGGTTGGTTCAGGTTTACGGCAAGGCAGTGCAAGTAGAATAGACTGTGGCCCATCAGTGGAGAGGAGGTGGGCTAGAGTAGCTGGAGGAGAGGGGTGCAGGTCAGAACTGCAGCACACTGTGTGGGGTGCCCAACGTTGGAATAGAAGGCATGCTGGATGGCGGGGTGGAGGGGTACTGGCAGGGTGCACTGGAAGCCCAGGGCTGGGATAGGGATAGAGAGACTGAAGCACAAGACTGGGGGACATTTGCAGAGCTGAGAGAGGGGGGAACCCTGCCAGCTCTACTCCTGACTGGGACCAACATTGTGAATCCTTAACCTGATAAGCAATGGGGCACTTGTCAGTGAATGGAAAGGTGCATTTTTAGGGCAGATGAGCTGGGAAGACCTTTTGTTTCTTCAGGCTGCACCAGTTCAGAAATCAGTGCTTATGGGGGAGACCCAGTATCATAGATCTCAGCCATCAGGTTTCCAGGAACAGGACCTAGATTCCCAAGGGGCTAGGCCAGGGGCCAGGATCTTCCCCTCCTCTGAACCCCACCCCCTCATGACGATGCCCAGACTTAAGCTCCTGTCTTATGTTTCAGATTTCCTGGCCACCTCTCCCTGGGCAGAAGGAGGAATGTGTTCGGAAGGGGAAGGACCCAATGGTAAGTCCCCCTTTTCTCTCCTGATGGATTCATTTGGGGCTTCACCTTCTCTTTAGGGACTTATTTACACATGGGGTTCTACTAGCTACTAAAGAAACCAGAGAAGAGGCTGAGTATGTCTTTCCTTTGGATCCCTCCTTGTCTGAGACAGGGAGATAGGAGGGTCCTTTCCTTGTATGAGAAGGTTAGTGACTTCCTTATGGGATTCACCCCCTCACACATACTTTTCTGTCTTAATGGCTGCTGCTCTGGCCTCTCTGTTATACCGTCCCTCACTGTGTGTGCACAAGAGTTCAGGTTATAAGGAGTGGCTACTACTGGGTGTATGCTTTTGAGGAGGTGCATCTATTCAGGTCTTTATCTGGCTTCCATCACTTTATTATGTGAATGCCATACAGAACTTATCTTTGCAACACATTCTGGGGCAGAGTGCAGCTATTACCTCCATGTGATAGATGGGGACCTGAGGCGCAGAGGCTGCCTGTGACTTGGCCAAGGTCCTTGATAGAATCCAGCAGAGCAGAGGATTGAATTCCAGGGCTGAAGCTAGTGCTCTAACCATTGCACCATCCTCCCTGTCTCTATGGGGCTGTGGTTGGGTATTCCTAGCTCTGCCACTGACTCAGGGCAGACCTTTCTGCCTGTCTCTCTTGGTTCCTACATAGTCCCTATCACTGGCCTCTTCACAGACATAAACAAATAGCTCCACACAAGCCCCTTTGAGGCAGAGTAGGATTATTACTCCTGTGTACAGAGGGGAAAACACAATGTGATGAAGTGTCCTACCCAAGGTCACAGGAGCAGCCTGTATTGGACTCAGGAACTGAACACCCGTCCCCGAGTCACAGTCTATTGCCTTAACCATCAAATTGGGAACAGGATTGTTTGGAACCAGAGCCATGCAAAGCCAGCTGTTTGCTTAGTGAATACAGTACACAAACCAGTCCTTGACACCTGACCTGTCTGCACTTACCCTACCACTCTCCTTATGTGCAAGCTGGTGGAAACTGAAATGGCCCATGTCACGACCTGGGCCATCCTCTAGGCAGCAGTATGCCTGGGGAGGTTCCCGGGCTGAGCCATCCCGGGGAGTCCTCTCAGCCATAGGACCCCAAGGAGTTGCATGCTTTGCATCCTTTGGAGGGGTTTGTGTGTGTGCATGTGTAGAAAACAGGGCCTGGTCCAGAGCCTCCTGAGATCAATGGGTCTTTCTATTAACCTGAAAGGTCTTTGGCTCTCAGAGCAGAAAAGGCTGCTGGTGGAAATGCTTTGCTGGACGAGGCATGGCAGATTTCAGTTGCCTGCTCCCCGAACAGTCCCCTGCTTTCAAATAGATATTTTAAAATCATGCTTTGAAACAATAGAGCACTTGAGGGGGGTGGATGCTGTGTTGATGGCCCATCCCGGAATAATTGCTCCCTGGGGCAGTTGTCACTCAGTTCGGCCTCCATATGTTTATTTTGCAAGCTCTCTCCCGCGGATCCAGAGCCTAAAGCGACCGTGCTCTGCTCCCCCATTCTTGCTGTTTAAAAGACTTTTGAAAAGGAAAAATAAACACCACAAGAGGCTCAGAAAACGGCAGTTGGGCTGCAGAGGGTGGCTCAGCCTCTGTGTCCCCAGAGCCGAGGGCTGCTGCCATCCTGGCGGGGCTCATTGTGGTGGAGGTGGTAAGTCCTGGTGTCGACTTCAGGAGACCACAGGAGTCACCGGTAGCTAAAGGTAAACTGAGCTGGCTGGAGGTGATTGATTGTGCTGATGGAGTTGAACATACTTCTTTCTTCCTTATGAACCTCCTGCTCTAATTACCAGGAGCCAAGTGAGTCAGGTGTTTTGTAACCGACATATTTAAAAACATCCACATTTCCTCGGTTTTTCCCCAGAAGCCTCCTTTCGGCTCTCGCATCAAAGCCCTTCCATTGTTCTCCTCCTGCCTCTGCCTAGAACTGACTTTTTTTTCCCTTCATTTTCCTCATATTCCCTGATCATCAATCAACGGTTGGTGTTTTCTTTTCACTGCTGCAGTCCCCGTCCTGGTTTTGCTCTTCTCAACAGCTTCTGGCTGCTGCTGTCCCTCTTGTGTTCAGATTCTTTGACAGAAATGTAACCCATTTTGAGGCCAGCTGTTGACATGCGGGAGAGGGAAGTCTGGAGGGCTGGCTGGGAGAATCTCTGGCAGTTGCAGATCCATATCGACGTGGTTTGAGATCTCCATCTACCTCCCCAGCCCCATCCTTTCTCCTTCCAAATTCTGATCCGCCAGGCTTTCCAGCCTTGCCCTGACTAACCCGTACCCTGCCGCCATAGGAATGCGCACACAGACAAATGTACATGCAAACACAAGGCAGCCCCTGAACGGATATGTTTTAAGAACACACATTGGTTCAGAAGAGAATAAAGGATTTCAGTTGAAGCCAGAGTCCTTTTAGGAGGTGGAAAGGGTCTGGGAGGGGGGGAATACTTAGATAAACGCAATAAAAGATTCTGGTTTGGGTCAGTCTGAGATTAGACCTGAGGTCTCAGCCAGTTCTTTTGTTTCACAAACTTGCTTGCTCACTTCCAGCTGATACAAAGCTTAGGCCATGTGGCTCCATAAGAAAGTCCTCAGGCTACTCACTGGTGTTTCATGGTGTGTTCCCTTGTGCTCAGTACTTCCAGGATATTCCCCATCCCTGAACACATGAAAAGTTTTGGAGTGTGATGTATATTTATTTTCTAATGTAAAAACCAGAGTCCTGATCTGTAGCTGGTCTTCATCAGCATAGCTGCATTGGCTTCAGCTTAGCTCTGACCACTCACATGAGCTGTGGGTCTGACCCAAGGTCTATTCTAGTTGGTTAGTGTGACAGCAGTTGCCCTATATAAATCAGGAGGGCAGGTTGAGGACTGGCCGTTGGCCATTAAGAATTAGAAAATGGGGTTAAGGAGTCTTGCCCGGTCAGGAAGGAATGAAACTATTAGAAGTCTTGCTATTGCCTGTGCTGAGGGCAGGTTTTCACTTTTACCCAAGGAGCCTTGTTTTCCTGGAAGCTTCTGCAGCTTCTCTCTCTTGCACTCATTTCCTTAGGGCTGGTTGATTTAGGAACAATGAATCCTCCATTTAAACAGGAGCTTGGACTAGATGACCCAGGGGGTCCATTCCACCCCTGTGATTCCTTTAGAGGTTCATAAGGAGCCTGAAGGTAGAAAAGTGTCACCAAGTGTAACAGCACATCGGGACAGGTACACAACGCCCGGCCCCCCCTGCCTTTTGGGTAACAAGGAAAAGAGACTTCAGAATGGAGAATACAGGAGCAGAACATGCAATTTTGTTGTAAGTGCTCCTGCTGCTGGGTTTAAGCATTTGTCAGCAATGCCTTTCTACCTGAGAGAAACTCCTTGCTCTCAGCACCCAGATGCAGGGCTAGCAGTAACAGTACCAAGGCTAGTTGTAACACATCTTCTCCATGTTCTGTACCTCGGCCAAAGGAAAACAAGGATTCATCACAGCAGGCAGGTTTAGACAGGGTCATAGAACAACTCCTGCTCCTGCAGAAGACCGTAGAGGTGGGGTGGCTTTTCTTTCTGTAAGTGAATAAGAATGATTGTATGAAGGGCATCAGATCCTCAGGTCTTGCATCCAAGGGTCTGTCTCTATCCCCATTATGAGCTAACTTCTCCAGGGTGCCCCCCAGCACAGTCCTGAAGGGACCCACCCCCATAGCTGGAAGGGGGGAAGAGGTATGTTACTTCTGCTGAAACGATTGCCAGTTTCTAGTGGTTGATGTGAGGCAGATATCTGCATGCTGGGACCTGGACTGGTACAGTCAAGCCAGATCACACGGGCCCCTGAAGATCCATCAGATGGTAACAACAGTGGACTGGATTTGAACCAGTGACCTCAAGTGGAAAAGTCTCCTTCGGCTTTTACCCATTTCCTTAGCCACCTCCTCTTCCAGGTTCAATGAGATTTAAACTGAGGTTCCTGAATAACTCGGAACGATAGGAGCTTAATGTGAATCATAGCAACATGTCCTGAAAGCCAAAATGTCGAGCAACTGCATTTCTCTGCAGGTAAAGGGGAGGCCTTGATGATCCTATTAAACCCTCTCTGCCCAACTTCCGAGCAGCTGGGGCCACGTCCCACCCAGCCCTGGCACACACTGTGTAGACTGCACACCACAGGGCCCAGGATCTCCACTTCACCCTACACCATAGGCCTCCCTGCTGTGCCATGCTGCACAGAGTCCCATCCCCCCTGAACCTCCAGGCCACAGGCTCCCTGAGTTGCAAGGGCCAAGCTGTGACTTCCCACCTCCAGGGGCTAGAGCAGGAAGCAGAAGCTGGAGGAAGGAGGGGGAGCCTGGAGACCCTGGTGATAACAGCTGGAGGGGGATAGGGGAGCAGCTGTGAATTAACACCCTGAAAACCACATGAGGCCTGAGGGTCACCAGTTGAACAGCCCTGTGTTAAACCATAATGGGCAAAGGGGATTGTGGCTGGTGCTTTCAGCGGAAGCCTAAATGAGTTAGGACCTAACGCTGCTCATGAATTGAGAATGGCAGTGAGATTAAAGAGTAGGCATTTGTGACAGGACTTAGGAAGACCTCAGAGCTTCACAAAGCATGTGGGAGCTGTAGGGATTCAGCAGCTCCATAGATGAGGAACTCGTATAGGAATACTTGACTCCCCACTGAACTGATGCATCTTTCCTCCGAGAGCGTGTCCAATCCCTTTTTTGGCATCTGGCTACATGTCAGCTTCCACAACAACTTGAGGCAGTGAGCGCCACACTTGAGTTGGACACTGCATGAAAAAGAACTTTCTTTGGTTAGTTTTAAACTTACTACCTACTAGTTTCATTTTGTGACCACTAGTTCTAAGACTGAGAGAGATTAGCAAATAATAAATCCCTTTTTACTTTCTTTTCACCATTTAGTGTTTTGTAAACCCTTATCAGGTCCCCCCTTAAGCTCTATTTTCTAAACTGAATAGGCCTAGCCTCTCAGTGGAGAAGGCTTATTCTTCTTTAGCTACTCTGCATTAAGTGTCGCTGTGCCTGCAATGAGCCTGCAGTAAATGACAGCTAAACCAGGCCAGTGTAGCCCGGTTTCATTCAGTAGTGTGCTGCCTTGGTTTAGCTCTCACTTCAAGGTATGAGTGCACACATGGATGGTTACTGCAAAGCAGCTAGGACATGGTAAGTGCTTACTTACCACTGTTACTTGCAGGAGAAAGGTAGTTCCTGGTATTAGGATTGCACGGAATTACCACAGGAGTCACCTGTAAGGAGAGTTGCAACTAGCAACATTTGGGACCAGTTGGTCTAGTATATGCTGCCTGGCATGATGAAGCAGGGAGAAGCTGGAGGAGAGACAAGGCTGTGCTATCAGAGAAAATGACCGATCACTTCTCTGCAGAGCGGCAGAGTTGGTTCTTCCTGAGCTGAGCATGATGAATAGATACTTGGAGCCTTCAGAGGAAGCTCTGACAGTCCCCTTGCTCTTGCTGCCCTTATCAGCCAGGGGATCACTGCTCCGGAAAGGGAGCAATTAATTCAGGTCAGTCATGAAAAGCCATTTATCTTCCTGCCCTGTGTAACTAACCGGCCTCCCCTTTAAATGACTAATTTGTCCAGAAGAAGGCCCTGTGTGTCCGTCTGTCCGTCTCCTTTACTTCCTGCCTTTGTTTGCCCCATTCCCCTTCTCCAAAAAAAGCTCCGTGGGAGCGGGAGTGAGCACCACTCTGAGGAGTCTGGCTGTGTGTCTGTGTGACGTGGATGGCACCAGCCCTTGGGGGAAGGTGACCCCTGGTTTCCGGGCTGTGGCATGAGAACTTTCCTGCTTGTTTAATGAGGACTGGCTAGTGGACAGGGAGCACGCAGGAAAATACCCCATGCTTGTCACCCACAGTAGTACCTTGAGCTTAATGCAGCTGTGCTCTGACCTCGCAGAGATCATTGTCATTAGGGAGAGTTCACCTCATTAGGAAGTACGGGAGAGTTCTTCAAGGAGGTGTCAGTGTGGACCCTATAGCAGGTGTGCTCATTCAAAGCAGTTTCCATTGGGTCTGCACATGCACATGCACAATGTGCCACCATATGTGTTTCTGTGCCTAGAGGAAAAAGGGTGGGGCTGCCCCAACCTCCTGTCCTTTCCCCGGCAATTGGGTCCACACTGATGCCATATGTAAGTAATCGGTCTCTAGTTTCCCTCCCCCCATGGTCTTAGCTTTTATGATAGTCTCTGGCTTTTTGCCTGTTCTGGTCCCCCTGTGAGCTATACTGAAGAATAGGTGCATTGGGATTAGAATTTGCCTTGTAGCCATCCCAAGGTGTGGTGGATACTTCTCATGCTGTGATCTCAGCCTGTGTAACTAACCTTAGGATAAACCCAAGCCCCCAGCACAATGTTAAGACCCTCCCTTTTTCACAGCTGTCTCACCAAAGCCTCCATATTGAAGCAAGAGAGCAGCCCAGTTTCACTCAGACTGGGAGACAGACATTCAGGCCTGGAACTGTGGAAGTGGCTTGAAATTTCGGGATGGAGTAGAAGCTGGGTCTCTAAGTTGGCTGTTTTCCTGACTTGATACACAGGGGCAGCATCCTCAGCCTGTGTAGCTTAGCCAGGCTATAATGAAGTCCACAGAGCTTACTGATAGCTGAGAATCTGGCCCATAGCCTTCACATGTGTGGTGCTCATCCAGGAGTCAGGCTCAGCCACTCCCTCCTGGGTACCACTGGGTCAGAATGAATCCTGTATCTCTGCACCTTGCCTCTTTCTTCTGGGTGCAGCCTCCAATGAACTAAGATAATGTGGTCTCTGCTGCTTCTCTGAGCTAATACAGGAAGCTGCTGCACAAAGCAATATGAAGACCTCATTTCCTGGCCAGGGACAATGCAGTGGGATGGGGGACTGACAGGGGCTGCTGCTGGGGAAGCAGCCGCTTGGACTGGAGTTGCAGGGAATAGGCTACGTGCCAAGCAGCCATAAAGGGAATATAACTGTGTTGCCTGCCCCAGCGCCAATGCAAGAACCTGCAGCTGAGAGCAATGAGACTCCCACTGCCTCCGTGGAGGTAATGCAGTGAACAGAGAAGATATGTCCTCAGAGAAGGGGAGGGAATTGCATGAGCTGAGCTGCTGTTGGAAGAATGTGCCCCAAAGGAATTGTATTGTTCTACGTACTGTATGTGAAGGAACAAGGCGAGGGACATTAATGGTGTCACTGCAGAGAGCTCAGTGCAGCAAAAGAAACCCCCACCTGGTTTCACGACTAGGAGCACATATTGCTTCCTGCTATTGTGTCCAAGAGCCAGGGACCGGCCTTTCACTGCCTGCCTCAGCCCAACCCAAATTGACTTGCTGGGAAAACCCAGTGCAAAGGGAACTTTTGCTGAACGCTTTGGATGAAAGCATGAGAGTAGCGAAGGGTTTGTTTCATTTACGGAGCTGTTCTGTTCCACAGATGTACGATACTATGACTCACGTACGTCTGGACTCTGTTCTTTAGAAACCCTGGGTAAACTCCTGGCTGCAGTTGAATGGAGAGCAGAGAGCCAATACCGTGTGCTGCTAACTCATACACCAGCTGTTCACTGATCAGTTGTGCATATACGCATGCATGTGAGTGTGTATGTGTATACAGTATTGCCATCCCCAGATGTTCAAAACCCATGAGCCAACCCCCAAAATATTATGAGATTTCCTGAAATATTATGAGGGGGCTTAGAAATAATGCCGTTTGAGTCCTTGTCTGTTGTTCTGATTTTTGACCCTTAAGAGTACCATCATGTTGCATTCCCAAACTTTTCTCCACAACCTTGAGAGCCAGAAAGGAAAGCTGAGATTCTCTTACAATCACTTGGCTCCAGGGCCTGGGCCTTCAAGAGAAACAAGATATATGGTGAGATTTGCAGTAAAACTGAGAAGGTTGGCAATGCTGCAGTGGTAAGACTTGACTTAGAGGAGCTGAATGATGTAATGGATTACTCTTTGTTATACATTGCTGAGGCACCCGCTGCTTTGTAGTCCAGGCTCCATCACACATGCTCAGAGGAATGTTGGACCTCTTGGCAAACAGCATAGATATCCCTAGCTTTCCTGCTCACTGACAAAGGCATGCACAAGATGCGCCCCCCCCATCCCTCCCACTCAATCTCCACTGTGTTTCTTCCAGACCGAATGTGCCAACTACATCCGCACTCTTCATCCTTTCAACCGGACACACCTGCTTGCCTGTGGCACAGGGGCCTTCCATCCAGTCTGCGCCTTCATCTACGTGGGACACCGTGGGGAGGTAGGAGAGCACCAACAGAAGCTGGCACGAGCCACATGCCACTGCATCACATCTCCATTTCCCTCCACAAATCTTCACTTGCACTTCTTAGCAGCCCTCTGCACCCATACAACAGGCAGTCCATGGATGGCGGGGATCCATGACCCAGGTGGCCAGAGTGGATCCATGTATGATGCTTGTCTCATGCACTGCTAACCATGTGCCCAGCACTGAGAGCCATTCCACACCCAGCAAGCCCAGGCCTAGCACTGGATGAAGGAGACGCAAGCAGCTCCTTGCAGTGAGATCCTGTCCCCAGATTTGTGCCAAGCCTCTATTTCCCCACCTTTGGGCATTTCTGAATTTCCATCTGGATCCATCAGCCTTGCTCCTTCCCCTCACCCTCCTCAGTGCTGGCTTCCTCCTGGGTGGTATTACTTTCCTCACCCTTTGCCTGGGCTGGGGCCATAAGTCAGCGTGGCCTTCATAAGAAGGCCTTGCTGCCTCTCTGTAACTTCCTTCTACCCCAGAGGCTTGAGTCTCCCTTATTCAGAAAGGAGGAGAAAGAGCCCTTTCAACCAAGCTGTGTGTCATAATGACAGGGACCATCCTGGTCTGTCCTTGTGCCCCCTTACACTATGTGCACCACCCACAGATACCTCAGCTCTTGACACTGGGAGCAGCAGGACACAATCAGGGCCCTGTTAGTGGTGATGTCTGCATCTAGCAGGTCCTGCTGTGGCCCTGGTTTCTGGTCTTGGAGGGTACTTGTGTCACTGTGGGAGCTCGGGGCCATTCCTGTCTAGCAGAGAGCCACACCACATGCCTGAAGGGGTTGCTTTGTACCCCCACATGGGGCGAGAGACAGACTGGAGACCAGAGCTGAACATCAGCATTGCTGGGGAGGAAGGAGAAGGCATCTGCACAACTCTGAGCCTGGCTGTTAAAATGCATTCTGACTGCTGGCAGGGCCTGAAACCCTAGCTTCCCATAAATAACGAAACGTGTCATAATTGGAGACATTTCTTTGCAGGAGGAGGGGGAGAACAGCCCTCAGGATGTGTGAGGCCAGATCCTTAGCTAGTGTCAACCAGCACAGCTTGGGAGTGTGGCTGATTCACCTCAGTTGAGGATCTCACTGCGGTGCTTGAGCTATTTAATTCTCCTACAAAACCAGGGCTGAGGGCCTCAGGCAGGAAGCTGGGTACACAGAAGGAACATTTCATTCTAAAGACCATATATTTTTTTCCCCCTTTCTGGCTGCATTTTCTCTATGTTTATTCCAGACCAGTGCTCCCTCTGAGCCCCAGCTGCGCCTTCTTAAAGGCTTGTTCTCACATGTCACTGAAAACCCAATTTACCACACTTAAAAGAGGAGGTTGAAAAAGAATTCAGCTGCAGAGTATCCCCCAGCCAGGCTCTGAGCGCAGGGAGAAAAGCATGCCGTCACATGGCATTCAGTACTGCCATGGAAAATGCCCAGATTACAAACAATAGACAGCTCCTCCAGTAGCCCAGAGCCCCTTGGCACAAAGTCAAAAATGTTGATAGAAGAGCACGTGCCTATTTCTAGGGCCAGAAGTGCTGCATTTCCCTATCCCATCCCTGGTAACGTGAATGTGACCTCTGTGGAGG